GGGGGGGGGGGGGGGGTGTTTAAAGGGCACGTGGTGTGTTTTTGGAAGGAAGGTTGCTGTTGTGGTTGACCTTTTGTTTGCGTGGCTGAAGCTGTATACAGCAGTGTGTGGGCAATGTTTGGCTCGCGTTTCGAAGGCAAGTTTTCTCCTTGTTTGGCCTACCTTGTGTACCCACATACAACCGCGCCCCATGTTTGTCATCTTGGCACGTGTTTTCTCGAACGACTCTTTCTTGTATGCTCAGAAGACATGCGCCCGTCGTTGCAGATGTGAAAATAAACCCTACGTGCGTGCGCCGTTCCCCTTACACACGACACCTCAGGACGTGGAGCTTCTCTCCGAGCTGCTGCGAGGAGTGCCCCTCCGGGACGCGGCCGCCGTGGCGTCCGCTGCGGCGCGCTTCCACGCGGGCCGTAGAGCCCACGCCGCCACCATCAACATTCTCGCCAACGCCCTGTACCACGTGTTCAGCACGCCCGAGGGCCCGGCGTCCAAGGGCACCCGGGTCGACCTCCAGGCGGCATGCTTCGACTACCTTAGCCTCGGCGGCTGCTACTCGGCCGGACCAGTCGGCCTCCTCTCCGGCCTCAGCCCCGCACCGTGGGCCCTGACGACCCACTTCTTCATGGTGGCGTTCCACGGCTGCCGGGAACACCTCCTGCCGGTCCCTACCCCCGGAGGAGTGCTGCGCGTGTATCGGCTGCTCCACGTGGCGACGAAGATCATTATGCCCCTGCTGGAACAGGAAGGGTCGACGTTCTTGGCCTGGTGGCCCTTCAGAAAAGCGATCCAGCTGGTGCTTCCCTGGGAGCACGAGAGATGGGAGAACCAATAGCTCTACATGCCTCCACGCCCGCCCGGGGACGCGAAAACAACACCGGGGGCGATTTTTGCTAGAGAGAATCGTCTACATGGGTTTTACGCCAAGCGTTTGTCTTGGAGGACGCCTGGCTCGCGTTCACGTGCGCGTTTTTCGCACGCAAGACTTGCGACATGGACGGACGAGTGGAATAAACAGAGTTTTATCTGCCGGGCGGAATAGCTAGTGCACTGCTTAGTTTCATGGGCGAATTGAGCACACCACAGGGTGCTAAGTAGTGGTCGGTCGGATGGTATGTCTGCTGGACAAACCGCTCGTGTCGCTCTAGGATATGGGTGAAGAAGCCTAGTAGGCGTAGGGTGGTCTTCATCAGGGGGGGCTTGCGCTTCCTTCTTGTAGGTTTTTAAAACGCGGTGTGTGTAGTGTGCCAAGCCTGGCTGCAGACTCCCAGAGAGTGGTCGCAAACAAACACGGATTCGTACTCCGTCTCCGTCGGGTATGTCTTTTTTGTTTTGTCGGTCTCGGTTTTGTTTCAATTTTGTTTTTATCGCCTAGGGCATGTACGCATGCATGGGGAGCCTCACGTGCACGAATGATTTTTGTGCGTAGTGTGTGCGTGTGTGTTTTCTGGGGCCGCTCGTGTGATCATGTTTGCAATCGTCGTGCAAGGGTTGTTTCAAGTGCCACCACCACTACGAAGTTGCCCGCTCTTCAGTGCATGGATGTAGTTAAGGTAGGTACCGCGATAAAAATGCCGTCGCGGCCGCCTCTGGGGGCGCTATGTAATAGATTCTTCTTGGTTATTGTGTTCCATTGTTTCTTCCGTCGTGACGCTATTCTCGCTCGTCTTGTTTTTTAGTCGTCGAATGTTGTGTCGGTGTGATCTAGGGTCGTGCCGTTGCCCCCCGGGACTTGTCAAAAATTGTGAGGCAGTTTCATAGCTCAAGAGGTGTGCACGTAACTTGACCCAAACACATGGTCTGGGCCCGCCAGACGAAAAATTATCAACAACAAACAACCGCTTCGAAGGGTGGTTCTTACCGCTTCGGAAAAGAAGTGAAATTTTCCACGGAACCGTCACAAGGAAACCCGGCTTTTTTTCGCTTGCTTGTTCTATTATTCGTGATGTCATCGCAAGAAGTTCGTTTCCTTCCCTGAATACACACTGTGCTCGGCACACAACAGTTTGAGTTGGCGTAGCTCACCATAGACCAGCGGTAAAAGCGCAATGAGCAGCACCCGACACAGAGGACAACACACTTAAAAAGATCCTATCCACCCGGCCTGCTGTTTTCAGTTTCAGCAACAACAAACAGGTGCAGGGCAGTGTGTCGCAACCTGGGTGTTGCTTGCGATTTCTTCAGTTTGCCAGCTCATTTTCCACGCTTGCGACTCCTATCTTTGACCACCACCTGCCCAAAGGTAGACGAGCTCAACAATCATTGGGCGGCAGCCGCGCTGACGGCCAGCATCACATAGATGGCCAATCCGAAAGAAATAGCGTGTCGGAGGCCCTGCTGCTCTTCCGCTGCGTGGTGCCGTGGATTGATGTTGACATGTCCGACCAAAAACAGAACATCTCGCCGCATTTTTTCCAACGGCGTTTTGGTGAGGTGGCACACGTCTGTCACACACCTTATTGAGCAGCACCCAAGCACCCAATACCCAAGAAGCATTACAGCGCCGGGAGATGGTATTATATAGACAGCCGAACCGAAGGAATATCAGCGCGTTGGAGGTCTTGGTACTGCTGCTGTATACCCGTTCTACTGTTTCCGAGTTTGCCATGTGTGATTGAAAAAAATTCCCCGGCACCAACAGCAGCAGTTGAAGACGAGAACATAAGCATGGACCAAAAATGGACTGAACGCCGCTTCCACCGCTTGTCCAACTCAACAACAGACAGACCTGGACGTGAGTCTGGCAGGTCTTTCTAGCATTCTCAGTGATGTTACAGTGCCCGCGGTGCACTCGTCCGATGCTTCTGTCAAAAACACGACTCCGTGAAAGTATGATAGAAAGCCCCGAAAAATCCCGGCTCCTTCTTTTCACGTTTCCGGGGAAAAACGCCTCCGTATATGTTCAAGAAAGCACCTAAGGTGAAATGTTCCGTGTTTTTTTTTGTCGTTAAGAACCACCCTGTAAATATGATAAGCCCGAGACCAACGCTGCCAGCAGGACTTGGTACTCTCCACAAAATGTGTTGACATGACAACGGCACACGTGAACCACCTGCTGTGGCGGGTCGTGTGTCGGTGTGTCCCTCAGAAGACATGAGAGGTCAAAACATGAACCTTCATTTAGCCATCAACACAAGGACCACAGCAGTCCAGATTTTGCACACTTTCTTCCCGCGCGCAGATTTCCTCTTAAGGTGATACTGGGAGGTCCAATTTTTGGTGAAGCGTTCTTGTCGCGCGCGGCTCGCGAATATCCACACACGCGGCGCAGCCCCAACCGCCATACGGATAGCTGGCCCTAAGCACAAGAGCAAGCGCTATCCCGTTTCACATGTAAGTGTCTAGGTTGCCGTGAGGGATAAGCAGAGGAAATTCCCAACCAATAAAAGTCCTGGCGTTTCTGCGTGTGCTGACTTCGTGGATGCCGTTTGAGAGTTGTGAGAGTATTTGACCAATGTCGCACCTGCCCATGTCAATCAATGTGGAGTACATTGACCGCTGTCGGTGATGCCCACACAGCTGACACAGCCTTGGCCATGTGTTTCGCTAAACCCAAGCTTAATCGCAAGTTTGTCACACACGTATGGAAAAGGCTACCTGGTGGGCTGTGATGTTTTGGCACTTGGCTTGCAGGGTCGAGTGAAACCCCGAGCGCGTCGCATGTTTCCGTGCTCTGCATTTGCGTGATTAGTCTAGTCTACCAACAGCAGGAGCACCACCGATGTCTTGAACGGTATTTGAGCGAGACAGAGAAACTTATAGCGTGTTTAGGTGGGGGTGCATCACCCATACGATTGATCCACTTTCCCTCGGCAAAGTACATGTAGCACCACGTATTTGTTTGGCAAGCGAAGTATCCGGGTATGTACAACGCTACAAGTTTACTCTGGTATGGAGACCGGCAGGCAATGGTAGCCAGTAGCCAGGCGCCCCATGGTGTGCGGCTGAAACAGCCCCTGGCATCCGACTTGCTCTGCCTCGTTGCTGCTGTCGCCCCTGCCCTCAGTAGGAGGAGTGGTAACGGCCACACTGCTCTAGCCAGCTCCCCTTACAGCCCTGCCCTGTCGGTGCCCTCTTGGCAGCTTGTGTGTCGAGCGGCTACACATGGCAACGCATTTTCGTGTCGTGTGGACGGCGAGCATACTGATTGGTGTCAAACAGCTCGACGCAATGAATAATAAATGAATCGAGCTATGAGGGGAGGTTTCCTAGCTCATATGCCCAACATCATTCTCCTGCGATTCTTCATGTTGCGCAACACAGACGCAGCGCCACGGCTGCCTCTGAAGTACTTCCAAGGTTCTGTAGGGTATTGGAAGTGCCACAGATCTCACAGAGTTATCCGGTAGGGTATCGGAAGTGCCAGGGTAATTAGCCGGAAAAATCTCGCCGATACCTTCTTTGGGTACCCTACTGAACACACTCTTTTGGACATTTCGTTTCCCCCTCTGCGGAAAGTCTACCGTTGGTTGCGTGGGGTCGGGCTGACCGGCGATCGTCATCTTTTTCAACTTCGCGGGATGACCGCAGGTTTTACCTTTTTCGCTGGGCCAGAACTACCCTGTGACATCTTCCTTTGCTGGAAGCACCACAAACAATCACATAACACATTCATAAACGACAGGTTCTTTGTATACCCTCGCTCTCGGCATATGCATGACGAAAACTCCCAAACACACCGATCGCGCCGCCACCTCATCGATAGCTCTTCTCCTAGTCCGCAACACGCAACGTGAACATGGACGGCGGCCGAGGTCGCGGTGGCAGAAGGGGAGGGGGGGGGAGGGGGTTCCGAGGCGGAGGCGGAGGCAGAGGTGGCCGAAACGGGGGTGGGGGGAGGGGTGGCCGGGGTGGTTGGAGGGGAGGTGGTGGTCGTGGCGGCGGGGGCGCCGGATGGAGGGGTGGAGGCAGGGGTGGGGGATGGGGTGGGGGGGGCAGAGGTCGAGGGGGAGGGGTCGACTGGAACGACCGCAGGCCGGCGGAGCCCACTGCGGAGACGCTGGCGCTAATGGGTGAGTCAACAAGTAACCAAACTTCCACGGCAGTCGGCAACGTTCCAGAGGTCGCTGGTTGGATGATGGTAGTAAAGCTAGGGAGGACAAACTCTATGAAGTGGAAGCCAGTGACTCGCTGCGGTGCTCTCGGAACACAACCGGTAGCAAGACGCTTTCATTGGGCGCCTGGCGGCGTACTCGGAGTAGCGGAGCTTTGTTTCGGCCGCCAGAAGATGCTGCTCGAGCACCAACTATGTAGCCATCATCATCACACGGTGTTCAGCGTAGCGTCCGTCTTTGTACGAAGTCCCACCGCACGTGCCGGCACCTTGTGTGAATTTCACAGGCACTCCGTGCGCCCGGGTCTTCTCTTCGTGCCGAAGAAAGTAAGTCAACTGCATGGTAGGAGGACAGCAGTAGTTCATGCGTGCAATATCGGTTCGTAGGCACGCGCCCTTATCGTGCTGTGGCAATCAACACCTCTCCGGGTTATTTTCTTTTGAAATGTTCCTCAAGGTGAGAGGGCGAAGGAATCCACCGTGGGCATCACACACTTCATCACGGAGAACGACACCGGCTTCTCCGGAGTACTGAAGCAGCGGTACTCCGACTTCATCGTTCACGAGGTGGGCATTCTTCCCAACAGTTTGCCCTTTTCAGGGGGGGGGGGGGGTCTTTNGGGGGGGGGGGGGTGTCTTTGAGTGCCGCCGCAAGCGGTCTCCAGTGATGAAGTGAAATACCTCTTGTGTGTGGAGGTGGTGTTGCTACTCAGATGGTTCGAAGCATCTTGTGCTCGACCGACCGAAGTTGATTCCGAAGATGCGTTTGCTGCCAAGGTGCCATGCTATTGTTGAGGCGCCTCGAACACGCTCGGCCGTGTTCAGTCCTTGCTAATACGGGTACTCACGACCCCGCCTTGCCGCCACAAACTCTCTAGACCGTCATTCACGCGCTCGACCTGGTTTTTGTTTCTCTGATCAACTTCTGCTGCAAGGTCACGCGCGACGGTGAGGTTTGCAAGGGCACCGATTTCCCGGGGCTCCTGCGGCCCATCGAGCACGAACGGCAGCCACCGCCGCCCGCCCACGGCCAGCCTACCGCCGCCGCCGCGCATAAGGAGACCCCCTCTGATAGCACGGCGTCACCGACGGCTGCGCGTGGTTCTGATGCGGTTGAGGACGGCTCGAAGGACAAGGATGGGGAGGGCAAGGGTGATGGCGAGGGAAGCCCGAAGGACAAAGAGAGGGAGGGCAAGGGTGATGGCGAGGGCGGCTCGAAGGACAAAGAGGGGGAGGACAAGGGTGACGGTGAGGGGGGCGCCGTGGATGGATCGTCGGGCGGGGGAATGGAGGAGGATGAGGACGCCAGGCGTGCGAGGGAAGAAGAGGAGAGAGAGAGGAAGAAGAAGGAGGCGGAGGAAGAGCTTAAGAAGCAGGCCAAGAGTGGTGCCGAGGCCCTGCTGCCCGTGGTCGGAGAGCAGGTTGCCGCCAAGGTGGGGAGAGGCCGAGTGCTGGCTGGCAGGGGATGTGTATTTGGTGGTTCCACCGCTACCGCTTACGCCGTGGGTTGTTGGTCGCGGCGGTATGATGGACTTTCTGCTCGAGGAGTTTGACCGCAATTCTGTCAGAAATCTGGTGTGCGTTGGTTAGTGGCGGCGCTAGCGAGGTGATGGCAGCGCCTTGAGCTATCTTTGAGAAGATGCAGGCCCTCCTGCTGCGGCTGCCCCGTAGATGGGTTGGGTCATGGCTCTAGTACAGCGCAAGCTCCTTGCCGCTCGTACCCCTTGCCTCACTGTCGGAACCACGACCGGTGTGCGTTGTGGTTAGGATAGAATTGCAGTTCCGCTTGTTTTCGTCGTTGACCACAGTCAAGTGCCCGCAAGTTGTGAGGCTGTTGTTTTTGCTGTTTTTTTCTGCCGCTGCTGGTACTGCTGTCGTTGTTGGTGTTGGTTTCTTTGCGCTGCTGCTCTCGTCTTGTTGGCCACGATCGGGTACTCCAACAGTAGTCTCTCTCCATGCTTGTTTTTTTTTGTGGCGTTCTGTTGTGTGACCCGTGTCCTTTTGGTCGTATGTATCTCGATGGTTTTGGCAAGCAGGTGGAGGCGTTCATGTTGGAGGGCTTGGGGGTCACGGGCAAGGACAAACGGACGCTCACGCTCCCCACCGCCGACAAAAACACCCGGGCAAAGGTATGTGAGTCGCGCCAGGGTACCACGCAGCGGGATCCATCTTCAACACCCCGCATTCTGGAAAAGCAAGTGAGCAGCTCCTGTTTTCCAACAACGCTTCTCCTCGGATTTTTTTTTTTTTTTTCGTGTACGCTTTTGTCGTTCTTTTTACGAGCTTGGAAGTGAGCCCCAGGCAAAAAGGGTGCGGTGTCTTGGGTCATGCGATGTCTGTGGAGGTGCTGCTGTATCCTCTACTCCTCGGCCACCGTTGCGAGCATCACGCTTTGCATATTTTCGGACCACTGCGCTGCTGCTGCTGTGAAGCGGCGCGGGCAATCGATCTGCTTTCTGCGGCGCCGCCACCTGCCGAGCCTAGCAGCATACCCTCGAGCGACCACACGGTGCCCCGCAATGGGCCTCCGGGGTAAGTCCCGGCGCCCCCCTGCTGTGTCATGTTTTCCAACATGTCGTCGTCGTCGCCGTCGTCGTCCCCCCGCGTGCTCGACCTCTTGAAGCAGAACTTCGGCACGTGTAGTGTTTTCCAACCTGTCGTCGTCGCCTCCCCACCACCCGTGTGCTGTGACTCCCAAGGTGTACGGCCTCCTGAAGCAAAACCTCAGCAAGTACCTGCTGGCGGTCACCGTAGATGACCCCGCCTCCGCCCCGCCGCCGATGGCCTCCAAAACCGAAACCTTCGAGGCCAAAGACGCCGAGGACGGCGACGCTAAGGCGACGGCGGGAGCCAGCGATGACAAGAGCGGCGCCGGCGGCGAAGCTCCCGCCGCGAAGGAAGGGAACGGTACGGAAAATCCGTCCAGCGAGAAGGGAGGCGAGAACGGCGGCGGCGGCGGCGGCGGCGGCGGCGGGGAACCTGCGGAGAAGACGGCGGCAAATACGAAAGCTTCGGCCGGCACCCCAGCCGCGGCGAAAAAGCCTGATCCGAACGGGCCCAAGTGCGTGCAGCTCAAGATGAAGCCCGACTGGCGAAATATCGACGGCGGCAACAAGCGTAGGAGGGGCGACCTGGACAGGTCCGGGGGGGGCGGAGGGAGGGGCGGGGGCGGCAGGCGCTGGGTGTGGCCCGAGGGGCGGCCCGAGTTCTGCCGGTTTGTGCTCTACAAGGAGAACAGCGATACCGTGAGTTACATGTAGGGTTGGTAGAGACAGGCCTATTGAGACTCGTCGGTGCGTGGTCGGGATCCTCGAGGCGGCGGGGGTGTTCTTGCGGGGGGGGGGCTGAGCCCAATCGATGCGAAGGTTGAATAGACAGAAGTAGCTGAACACATCGTCCATGCAACGAAGTTGTTGAACGTTCGCCCCAAAACTGCGCTCCAACAACTCCAACAACCAGCCATGGCTGTTTCAACGCGTGCCAAGGCAAAAGAGGGTACATAGATTGAGAGCGCGTGTCTTGGTGCTAGATTGAGATCCTGTTTTCACGACGAAGCAGTCGTTTGCTCTCTCGGGGGTGCCATTCGGAGGCCGCCGCGGGTGTGTGTCTCGTCAGGGACATTCACCGCTCCCAGGGGCTCTCTGAACCAGCAAAAAAATGGCGGCACTGTATCATGCACATCGACGTGTAACTTGAGAGGGATTCCGGTTCATTGCTCTTTTTTGCAGACGGGTCGCGCTCTCGTCGAACGCGCAAGTATCATCGACGCAATCCATATGAAAGTTGAGAAGGGTCTCCCATCCCTTACTCTCTTCATGCTCGTTTTCATTGCTACGATATGTTTTCTTGCCCTCCGCTGTCGGTATCCGCAGATGGGAGCCGTCAGCCGCATTTGCAAGCACCTTCGATTCTCGAGCAAGGTCGTGGGGTACGCCGGGACTAAGGACAAGCGGGGCGTTACGGCGCAGTGGTGCACCGTCAAGCGGAAGTCTATCGAAGAGCTCAGGAGCTTCAACCGCCCGCTTGGTGCTTTCCAGGTTAGCCTACCGAAAATGTTTTTGTTTTTATGTAGATATATACATAAAATATCACAACGCAGATATGTTTCCAGGGTAGCCGACCAGAATGTTCATGTTTTCGAATAGAAAAAGCGAAGATGCAATCTTGATTCCGGGTTAGCCGGCCGAAATTTTTGTTGCGCATTGAATCCACAAAGTTGCAAATATTTTTTGCCAGTTTCCATGAAGAGTACCATGCTGTTGCCTGGAAGAATCGCGTTCTTTTCGTTCCTTTGTTGGAAAATCAAGCATCCTCAAGAGGCAAGTGCTGTCTCCAGTCAGCAATAATCGTACCCCAGATCAACCACAACAATTACGGCAGAGTACAAAGTATCTTGTGAGGTCTTTTGATCTTCGTGAGAACCTTGGGGGCTTGTCACACTATCCGATTCTCCGGGACCCCTCCCTCACTACCACTATATGGCGGGGACGTTTTTTCGAGAGCAGGGGTCAATCGTTCTCCTTGGGAACTTCTCGTACGTGGCGGAGCCCCTCAAGCTCGGAGATCTCTCCGGCAACCGCTTCGGCATCGTCCTTAGAAACCTCAGCCTGCCCAGCGGCGGCGAGAACGGGGCCGAGAACGGTGCTGGGGGGGGGCAGGACGCCTCGGCTGACGAAGCGTCAAAGAAGGAGGCCGAATACGCTGAGGCGGCGGTGGTCGAAACCGGCGCTAAGCTGAAGGAGACGGTGGACCGACGCTGCGCGTGGGTGAAGGAGCGGGGGTTCATCAACTACTTCGGCCTCCAGAGGTTCGGGTCGGGGGGAGCACCGACGAGCGAGGTGGGGCTGGCCATGCTCAAGGAGGACTGGGCTGGGGCGGTGAGACTCATCATGACGCCTAGGATGGGTGAGAACGAGGCCACGCACGCGAGCAAGGTGGGTTCACGGTGGATATGCTTGTTTGTACGGTATGCGTGGACCACCGCGATAATGTACCGCCTACGTGCTTCACGACCTGTCGGATGGCGTCTGTATCTTTCCTATTTGCAGCGGTGCGATGGCGCCGCTTAAGCAACGGTCACGGGCAGTACCGTAAGTCGTGGGGTACGACAAGCTTGGTCCGCTCCGTGCGTGGAGTTGTGTTGAGAGGGCTTCGATTGACGATTGGGGGCGAGCAGACGATATCGCGCGTGTAGTTCACAAACCGGATCATTGCAACGCTTGGCGTTTAGTGTGCCGAGATCTTTTTGTCCTTTCTAGCCACCGCACGAGCAATGATGCGGTTTCTCAGATGTTTTGGCAAGAGGCTGTGTGCTATGGTACAGTACGAGGGTGACTTCTCACCTTGCCGCCGTCTCAATACCATGCCGCGGTCAACATTCATGCAGCCTTGCCTACATACTCCACCACCTCAATCTCGCCCTGAAGGATTCCGATCGACACAGGACACGCACAACCGTAGTGGTGTCTGGCAGGGCTATCGCTTGGCCCATCCGTAAGCCCGAGGAACTCCGTTTCGATGCTGCCACCACCGTTGGGGACAAACTGTGCATGTGCCCGCTGGTGGGGCGGATATACCGGCTCAAACCCTTGTGCCGCTGGTTGACTTGAGCAGCAATGACGTTTCTTCCTTGCATCCAGAGGTCTTTCGGAGGGTGCATGTCTTCGCGGTGTTTTGGTCGCGTCCATGTCGCCGGCCTTTTGACACGGTGCTAGCTCTCCCGCGCATCCCGTCAATGCTGCCACCGTTCACTGACTCAAGAAAGGTACCACACATTTTTGGGCAGATCGACTCCCACCCAGGAACTTCTTTTTCAAGGATACCGGGCAGACCCAGTTGCCGGTGGAATATCCTTTCAAAACATCCCTCCAATCCTGACCCACACACCACCGCCTGCTAGCCCCGTACACCGTTTTCTGTCTGGTTTCGAAAAGAACACCGTTAATCGTGATCCACGTCACCGCCTCGTTGCCTCGCACACCTCCTTTTTGTCCGGTACCGAAAAAGGTACACTACCTTAAGAACCCGACGGACATCCAGGGCACCCTCAACAAGCTGCCGTTCTTCATGGATGCCGAGAAGAGCATGATGCAAGCGCTACTCAAGGGTGGCCCGAACGCTCACATCGACGCCCTCAAGGCCGTGCCCAAAAATCTTCAGCTCATGTACCTGTGAGACGAAGTGGATGATATGTTCGATACCTTGTTGCTCACGTTGTACCGCGTAGCGACAGAACTTATTGAAGCCATGCAGAATTCTCCCGTGATGCCGCTATTCGGGCATTTTGAGGGGGAGCAATCAGGAGCGCATGTTGCAGAAAATGGCATCTCCGCGCGAAGTTGGTAGGTCAGTTTTACGGGGCGCGTAAATGCTGCGGAGAATGTTGACCTTTTTGTGTTTGTCGTATGCCGCAACTACCGAACACACTTCATGCATAACATGTCCAAGTGGCTGAAACCGCTGCGGCCGTGCAGTTTGTCCGTTGAAATCCAAGCCCCGCCCCTCGTGTGTCTCTCGCCCTCTACCGCTGCTTCGGCTTCACGTGTAACGTGTGTCAACCCCCAACATGACCAACAACGGCGATTACGGCGATTACGACGACGACGACAACTATAACAACAATACGGACCAAAGGCACGCCTTCCAGTCCCTGCTGTGGAACCTCGCCGCCTCGGAGCGCATCAAGCTCTACGGCAGAGACGCCGCGGTGGAAGGCGATCTCGTGTTCCCCCGAGACTCCCCCGCCGCGGCCATCGAAGACGACGCCACCCTGGTCGACCCTGCGATAGGAGCCGCCGCCGTCGACGCCGCTGAGCGGGACGGCGACGGAGAAGATGAGGGCGGGGAGGGGCAGCAGCCGGAGGCCAAGCGGGCCAAGACGGCGGAGACCTCCCTGCCGCCGGTACACGTGGTGACTAAGGAAGACGTGGAGGAAGGGACCTTCCGTCTGACCGACGTCGTGCTGCCCATGCCCGGGTGAGGAATGTACGGTAGCCCTCGCAAGGTGTTTCGTATTCAGGAAAACATGCTAGGTAAAGCGTATAATCGGGGGAAGTTTGGTCAGGGTTGGGGAGTAGGGTCTGCGTACCCCCTTCCTGTTCTGTTTTCTTGTAGTACTGAATTTGTCGCGCGAAGGCGGTCCGGAGTTTTGTGATACATGCGTGTTTTTCTTGTTTTGGCAGGAGGAAAGTGGTGTTGTGTTGAAGTTGCCGTTCTTGATTTCGTGAAGCGTATGTACCGTCGTGGGGGGCATCCATGTTTTTGTTTTGTTTTTGTGGATTCTTCGCGGCTCCTGGAACATGGAGACTATCATCCGTTTGAGGTATTAACCCCTTCGAACTGAAGCGGCTGGGCAGCCCTCGTCTCTTTGTTTGTCCAGACGCGACAAGTCTACTGCGAGAGTAGCGTCGTGCTTCAAAAGTCTGCCCTCGTTGTGTAGCTGGGGACGGGGTCATAGGGCGTTTGCTCGTGCTCCAATGACAGTTGTAGCTTCGACGATATCACCAGACGGCGTCCTATTCACTCCGAACGGCAATGCCCAAAGCTAATGCAGTTTCGATTTGACAGCATAGAACTCGGCAGACATATCTAGAAGTGTCCCGTGCCCACGAGTTTTTTCTGTACATGTTACGACAGGAGATATCAACATCAAACTTTTGACAGCGTCAATGAGTGAGAGCAACGGCGTTGTTGTCGCAACCCCAACCCACTCGCCCACTTTCATGCCCAACTTGTGTGCCAAAACGTTTCAGGTCGGGGGTGACGTACCCTACGAATGGCGTGAAGGAGTGCTACACCAAGGCGTTGGAGGAGAGGGGAGTCACAGAGGCGTGCTTCAGCTCGTCCACGCAGAAGGCCTTCAAGCTGGGGGGCGCGTACCGCAGGTGAATCGATCGGTAAAAGTTGCCGGTTGGTTCTGTGACCATCAGGACGGCGGCGCCGGAGTACTTGACTTCTATTGGTGAAGTTCGTGTGTGTACGAACGTGTAGTTTCTGGCGTACGCTGTTTTAGGGGCAGCCGTGCTTGCCTACGTAGCCCACCTTTTTTTGTTTTGGTGGTTTGTGTTTGCGCGACCGCGAGGCCCGTGCATGGGACCTAAATAGCGGCATTGCCTGATGACCACTGTCAGCTGCACTCGCTCTTTCAACAGGAGTCATACGGGGGGGACGATATCATGACCTATTGAGAGCGTCTTCCATTTTTGCGTTCTCTTGTCTCCAGCCGCTAGTAGTGTGCTTGTCCACGGCAACGGTACTATCGTGGCGTCGCCGGCGGCTCATTGCTTATCGCCCTTTGTCCAAAGCGTCGCGGCACCCGTTATCCTTGCATACTTTCACGCCATATTGGACGCGTTGCACCAGTTTCTTTCTGCTTGCACGCTTAACATCGATACTCTGATGCATTCGTACGCTCTTTCTCTCTCTCTCTCTCTCTCTCTCTCTCTCTCTCTCTCTCTCTCTCTCT